GACTAGCTAGTACCATCTGACATATCCTTTCTGCTTTAGTTTGTTGTGATTCATCTTCTCTTTTTTTTCTTTTCTTTTTTTTTCTGTTTCAGAGAGTCGTATGATTCTGGATGCCTTTGCCCAACAATGCAGCCGGGTTCTTAGTCTTTTAAATTGTGGTGGAAAACTACTGGACAACAATCACTCTCAGTCCATGATTTCCTGTGTAAAGCAGGAAAATACAAGTTATAATGAAAGACAAGAGCAGTGTCAGCTGGGGAAAATGGTCCATAGTCAGTCATCAGACAATTTAGATATAGAGATGCAGTATATGCAAAAGAAACAGCAAACCTCAGCCTTTCTGAGGGTTTTTACTGATTCCCTTCAAAACTATTTGCTTTCTGGGAGCTTTGCATCTCAGAACACTTCATCAGTAAATGATTTTGGCCATTTGGCAGATGTGGATCCACTGTCAACCTCTCCAGTGCACACTTTAGGTGGATGGACATCCCCAGCAACCTCTGAGTCCCATGGTCATCCATCATCATCTACACTTCCCGAGGAGGAAGAGGAAGAGGAGGGATACTGTCCCCGATGTCAAGAGCTAGAGCAGGAGGTAATTTCACTACAACAAGAAAATGAGGAACTCCGGAGAAAACTGGAAAGCATTCCAGGTAAATATTCCCAGGCCATGTAATATTTTATTTATTAATATCAAATTTACTTTATGTAATATACTGTAGCAAAGATTATAATATTAAAATAAGCTTTTAAATGGTATGTTAGGAGTTTAATTATCACTTGTCAAAACAGAGGAACCCAGTGTTAAGGCTCCAACCCTAACTCCTACGGTTATGTCAACTATTACGCTTAATTTGGTATTGTACACTATATACTGCATTATTTGTTGATAAATTTCCATATGAACTGCAATATAGTCACACATGCATTCAGGATAAAATGCAATTATAATTCAGAATTTGCTTAGTTTGGGGGCATCTAAGTCATTTCAAGTAGGTTGTCATGGTACTTTAAAATACATGCTTTCATATTGCTTGCCTCTGCTGTTATTTAAATGGCAGTTATAATATGCAAACCTATTTATTTCCTCTTTTCTTAAAAAGCATCTATTCAAAGTTCACATGTGCCAATATTTTTAACAAAGTGGATGGAAAATTTAAATTGAACTTTATCCTCTTAAAACATACCCAAACCATCAAAACTAAAACATTCCTCCCACTCTTCACACCCATCTCCAGGAAGAGCTTGGAAAAAAAGAGTCTCTCTGTAATATGTCCTGAAAGTTGAACTTTATCAGAATACAACAAGGAGAAGGAGGCCAATGTATGTTCCACAATAGAAAATTCTTCACTGAAAACACTCTCCACTCTTTTTTAAACCTGGAGGCTATTGGCACTTGAGATCAGCTGAGGTGTTTGAGTTGTGGTATTTCATAAGAACAAAGGATGTTTCTAAAGTATCTTGAATCCAAACCCTGTAGACCTTAAATAAAGATAAAAACACCTTGAGTAATACCAGAAACAAACTGGAAGCTAGTGAAGACTAAAGCACACATGCAACATGCACTTTTTTGGACACACACAAACTAGTGGAATGCAATGTTCTGTGTTTGCTGAAGGTTTTGAAAGTTCTTCAGGTGTATTCCCATCTAGAGCAGTATGTAACAGTAATCCACCATATACATGAGAAAGGCATGGATGGCTGCATATGAGAAGGGGAAAAAAATCACAACTTGCTAGCTAACTACAAATGGAAAAAAACTTGGCCATAGCTGTTGTTTGACCATCCAGATGATGATTTGGAAGACCCCAAGTTACAAATCTGAACAAACGTGATCAAAGCAGCTTACATAGCTTTCACTCTTTCTCTAGTTCTTCGTTCAGTTGCCAGCATTGTGTCTTTCCTATCTGTCCTGATCCTCCATCAGTGAGCTCTCAGCTAGTTTGACCATTTGACCTAGAAAGGCTATACTGAGAATGCGTACTCAATGCAAACTGCAAGGAATAGGGCAAACAATTACAAAAACTGGTGGGCTATTCTGTAATTAGATTCACCAAGCCAGTAATAAAATATTTTCTATAATACCACACTGGTTACCAAAATGTCAAATATTGTCCCCTTTAAGCAGTCCAACCTTTGGCTTCTATCAAGACAGCCTTGTCTAATATAATGAGAGATTACTAAAAACTGTATTCACCATTCTTAAAATTGTGCTAATCGTAAAGGACCAGACACATTGCCTGCCACGTCAATGAATATTTTAGATCTCACCCAAATACATGTTTACAGCCAATCCTTATTAACCTAATCTAAGATTTATTAATACAAAAAGAGAAGGGAGTTGCTATAGTTAAAAAGGCAATATACATACCAGTATGAGTAAAGTTCTTGGGTCAGTTTCATAGCAGAGATGGTGAGGTTGCTGATTTGTAAAAAGTCCTTTGAGAGTCAGTTTAAAAGGTTATATTTCAATAGGCAGTCCATGTGTAGAACATGTTCAAATTCTTCCATAATAATTCCAGGATGGATCCAGACTAACCTGGAGACCTTCATTTTGAAATGTAGACTTCCCCTATCAACATTTAAGCAGATCTGAGAATTTGGGGGGAGGAGGGGAAGATTAGGCCCAAAGTGTCTTTTATACTTGAAGGTGAGCATATAGGCCTCTTCACAAAGTGATGGTTGTAGTAGAGCTTCCTTTAGATAATACATATTGTTGCTTTGAAGCTAATCTCTTTCCTGAGCATACACTGGTAACTATTTGTATTCTTTAGCATAAGGCAATTAACCATTCAGACGGTTCACTAGAGGTTTACTGTGTAGAATTATAAGGTACAAAGAGAAATGAGGACAATAATATTATAACATCGCAAGTTTTGCCTAAATGATAATATCCGCATTTGATCTCTGAATCAACATAATACAGTAATGAAGTATTGAGAGACAGGAACAGAATTTTTGCATGCATAAGCTAATTAGATCACACTGTTAAACTTCGAATTATATATACGTAATCACAGACAAAATATACTTAGTGTCTACCCTTTGATTCTCTTATCAATACATGCATACATATTAAAGTTTACTTAACATGACTGATAACTATCTTCAAGGAATGGCCATTTATCATTTCAGGTTTGCTTTAGAGGTCACTCAGCCTACTGGTTGCTTAATCCTCACTGGTTTAGCATTACAACTAGTTACTAGCAAATCTGATCAGCCACACTGTCCAGGTTGAATGAAACAAAAATGTAGTACATTCCAAAGGCACTGCAACTCACACTAACAGCTTTGTATGCATTTCGGGACAGGAGGGGTGACAAAATTTAACCCTGGGGTAACCAAAATGAAAGAATCCTCACTGCAGAGCTCACAATGCCACCTCTCAGGTCATAGATTCATAGAGCATAAGACAAGAAGACCATCAGTTCATCTAGTTTGACCTGTATATTACAGAGGCTATTACATTTCATCCAGCTACCCCTATGTTGAGCCTAATCATTTCTTGGTTTTGATAAAGCATATCTTACAGGAAGGCATCTAGTCCTGATCTGATGATGTCAAGAGACAGAATCTATCACTTCCCTTGATAGTTTGTTCCAGTGCTTAATCACCTTCACTGTTAAAAATGTGTGCCTAATTTATTTGAATGTGTGTGGCTTCAGCAGCCAGAAATTAGCTCTTGCTATGCCCTTCTTCATTAAAGAGCCCTTTAGTACCCAGTATTTTCTCCCCCTGAAGGTATTTATATCCTATAATCACTCAGTCTTCTTTTTGATAAGATAACCAGGTGGATACTTTAAATCTTTCACTGAAAGGCAGTTTCTTCAGCCCTCAAAGTATTTCTGTGGTTCTCATCTGCATCCTTCCGCTTTTTCAACATCCTTTATAAAATGTGGACACCAGGACTGGATGTACTACTCCAGTATCAGTCACACCAGGTGTATACATAGATAAAATAAGCTCCCTACATTCTTGTCTATATAGCCAAGAATTGCATTCACCCTTTTTGCCACAGTATTACACTGGAAGCTCATGTTGAGTTGCTCATCTTCTATGACCCCTAAGTTCTAGAGAGTCGTTGCTTTCCAAGATGTAGCCCCCCATTCTGCAGTTGTGACCTGCATTCCTTGTACCTAGATCTATAACTTTGAATTTGACTGTATTAAAGCACATTTTTGTTTGAATGGGACCAATTTATTCTGTGATCCAGATGAGTGTGTGACAGCCCCATTCACACAAATATTTGGCAAATCACAAAAACATTTGTGGCTCACATCAACCATTGTTTTATATGTACTTCCAAATCATTGAAGAAAATGTTGAATAATGTCAGGTCTCGTATTGAGTCCTGCAGAAGTCACTAGAAAATGCTCTTCAATGATATTCACCATTGACAGCTACTTTTTGAGATCTTTCACTTACCAGTTCTTAATCCATTTCTTTTGTGCACTGATATTTTATAAAGCCTATTTTTAACTGGAGTATTGTATGGTACTAAGTCAAATTCTCTACAAATGCTCAAGTATACTACATTGACAATGTTACCTTTTAACAACCAAACTTGTAATTTTATCAATGATTGAAATCAGGTTTGTTTTGACAAGACCTGTTTTCCATAAAACCATGTTAACTGGCTTTAATTATAATTCCTATCCTTAGTTCTTAATTAATTAAATCCCTTTTAATTTTCCATTATTTTGTCCTATATTGATATCAGGCCAAGTTGCCAGAATCATCTGGCTTGGCCTTTTTATTTTAAAAAGTAAGGGTCATTCAAGTGCAGTTCTTTTATAGCCCTACCAGGGATAGTAGGCACATCAGAAACACCTTATCTATGCTCTATTAAAGAATACAAAAAATCTAGAATAAATGTGCATGGATAGATCATTACCATATAATCAGCAGGAGATCAACAATGAAACCAGCACTGTCTGCATAACATCTTACAAAGGCCTAAAATCAAAATGATAGGAGTCAGGGAAATCTATGGACTCGAGGTACTGCCACAGTTGCTTTGCTGCCAAGGACTACTTGAGTCCACATTGTTGCCCACAGCTCTCCAAATTGCCAAGCAGTAAATCTGTTTTAAAAATCAACTAGAAAAGGATCTCTTATCTGTTGTCCCACATTCTGACTCACTCCAATGAGGTCCTGCCAGCATGGGGGTTAACTATCTAGTCAGAGAATCAGTGTGATATTATCCACAGACTAATTAGCACACTCACAGCTTGAGATATTCTCCTCTGTATCTGATCAGACCACTCTTGATTCATTATCCAAAACACTTCTGCTCACCAAGACTTTGCAGGTTTTATGAGAGAACCAAAGAAACTTCATCACAAGATTCAGTAGTTCTTTGTGACAGTGTCATACCATAAAAGCCCTTTGCTCCCAGCAGTGCTCCAAAATTTTTCTTTGGTATTTCATCTGTTGTAGGTAGTCTGTGTACCATGGGCACTTGTTAGGAGTAATACAAGCGAAGAGCTGCTGTTAGGAAACAATATGTCCTATCAGATTACTGAAAGAGTGGTTTATTAACTTAGTACTTTTCACCTTCATTGATGTATGGAACTTGACTGCTGCTTTTAGCTCCAAAGAAAGATCAATACAATAAATACAAAAATTTTAAAGGAGGTTAAATGGGAAATAT